ATTATTATTATTATTATTATTATTATTATTATTATTATTATTATTATTATTATTATTATTATTATTATTATTATTGCTGCTGTTGTTGTTATTATTGTTGTTATTATTATTATTGTTATAGTTGTTGTTGTTATTATTATTTGATCCATTATTATTAATGCTATTGATGCTATTATTGTTAGCATTGATACTAACAATAGTGTTGGTGTTGGCGGTAAATCTATCTTGACACATTAATAAAGCATTTTCTAAAATTTTAATGGTCTGAGTTGCTAATTCAGTCATGATGTGATTTTGTTCATAAAAGTGACAGATATTCAATGTTTTTGTAATGTTATGATAAGCTGATAAAGCCAATCCATGTTTCTCAGAGCTAATATTATTCAAATGAATTTTTGAAGCTTTAATTAGACAATAAAACATTGTTGGAAATGTTATGCATGTATAAACATTATTCAGTGATTCAACTAAAAAAATAAAAATTTATTATAAAGATTGAGATTGAGGTATGGATGGAAATAGAGATGATTGATTGATAATAATAACAATTATAATGATAGCTTACCAGCAATATGAGTTATGGCATTAGCAGCGCTAGCACAAACATTTAAAGATTTCAAATAAAGTTTTGATCTTTTTGTAGATTGATTGCTATAATAGTAATAATTGTTGTTGTTGTGTGAAGCAATGTAAGGATAATGGAGCATTAAGAATAAAGTTTGATAATAAATATGTAAAGAAGCAATATGACCAGGTAATGGTGATGACGATATGTTATTCTGTTGCTGTTGTTGCTGACTCTGTAGTGGTGAAAGATTGTTGTATTGTAAATAAGAAGGTAAATCATGTGACCAAGATGAAAGCAATTGTTCAAAGTTTGTAATCATATAATGATGATTCCATGAAGAGGTTATGCCAGCACATGAAATTGAATGTAAGTGTTCAATTATTTGGCCAATTAATCTTGATAATCTGATTAGATTAGCAAAAACATTCATTTGCCTTTTTTGTTGTTGGTGATTTGTATTATTATTACTTGAAGTTGTTTTCGATGATTGTTGATTATTATTATTACCATCACCATCACCATCATTATTATTACTAGCATCACTATTATTGTTACCAATATTAATAATATTATTGTTATCTTGACCATCTGATTCATCTAATAAAGGTAATTCTATATCACAAATTTTGTCATTAATTGATAAAGGGTCACCAGTTGTAAGACCATTTAATCTATCAACAATATAGCAACCCCACCAAATCAATTTTATTGATTGACAATTTTTTCCCAGTTGATAAATTGGACTATTTTTCCTGTTTAATCCGATAGTTTGAGCCATCCTAACAGCTAATGATGAATATGTTTGAAACCTATAAGATGTTGATGAATTTCCTTGATCTATCATGAATAAAAGTATCAATGATTGGATTGTTGACAATCTTGGCACATCTAAAAAATGATCCAATAAATCTACAAAATAATAAAATAGTAATGACATTCAGTAATTTATTCGTTCTTTCATCCATCCATCCATCCACCATTCATTCATTCATTCATTCATTCATTCATTCATTCGTTTTTTCAGTTCTTTTTGTTTGATTTGATTTCACTTACTTTTTGCCTGATCATAAAATATTAGTTTATTGTATGGATCAATGTGTGGAAGAGGAAACGTGGCACCAATAGCATAAATAGCATTAAGAAGTAGCGGAGAAAGTTGATCTTCATCCTCTATATTGTTAATATCATTATTACTTTTACTATTATTATTAGTATTATTTTCACTACTTTTTGATAATGACAATTGCTTGAAAAATTGATCTTGATCAATTATGGGAAAATAAGGATGAAAATAAAGAAAATAATTGTCTATTAATTGATTTGAAATCTCTGATGGAATCTGTTTTATATGTGGCAATTTTGTTGGTAGGGATGGTTCAGTAGCAAATATGAATTTACTATAACGATGACCATCACTATTATTGTTAATGTTACTACTACTACTATTATTATTATTACTGTTGCTGTTAATATTATCGTTGGTAATGTTATAGTCTTTTAAGAAGTTTAATGACATTAAATTGCTACGTAATAGTCCATCATCATCACTATCTAAATAATCTTCATTTAAAGTTAAAGATTGATCTGATGCTGACAGGTTTGTAGCGGTGGTGTCAATTGACAGCGGTGGTGACCTCGACGGTATAAATGAATGATTATGATGATCATTAGCATTATTGTTGGCATTATTGTTATTAGGTGTCAATGGTGAGGAAGCCGTACCTTTTGTCGTAGTAGATGGAGAATAATGACGTATTTTAAAAGTAGAGAATTTTTGTCGTTGACCGATCATCGGGGAAGAAATGTCTTCAAATGAAGAAGAAGAAGTGGGAGTCATAGTCGATGGTTGTTGATCATGTTCTTTTTTTATCCCTCTATTATGATTATCAGATGTATCTTTATTGACAAGATTTACTAAAAGTGATTCAATCGTGTGTAATCTATCCTCTATCAATGCAACAAAACCTTTTGGTGGACCTCTTGGACGTTTGTTGGATGCGTCAGAGAACGTACATTGGTATCCTATAATAAACGATAGTAATGTTATTATTTTGGAGGGAGGAAGGGAGGATTGATATTTTTTATTAAATAATAACTAATACAAAACCTCCTCTTTGACAATTTGCACAGGGTGAAGCTCCGTCGCATTTAACTTTTCGCCTGCGGCATGTATCACAAGCCGTAGTAATTTTCACACGTTTACTTTCATTCGATTCACCTGATTCATCTAGAATCATATCATCTAAAATAAACAAGCTCATTTGTTTTCTTTGCAAGTTGAATTTTTTTTTTAAAAAAAGAGTAGTTCTTTATATATAAGAAATTCTAAATAACAATCAACATTAAAAAAAATTATTATTTTAATTTAGTTAATTTAGCTAATTAATTAATAATTTTTGTTTTATATCCAAAGCAAAACCATTTTTTTTCGAATTATTATTTGAATTACAATGAAATCGACGCGTTTTATTATTTTACGTCAAACTTATATAGCAAGCCAGCAAAATAAAATTAACACTCTGATCCAAAAAAGGTCTAGCCCAAACCACATCTTTGCTGCTGTTATCATCCATTATTAATTAATCTCTTGCTTCTTGCTTTTTTGTTACTGGGTTATACATGGGAATTTGTATTGTAATAATGATAAATCAATATAAATCCAGTAATTCGTTCTTTTTAATTTTTGCCTTCTTTATACACCTTCTTTCCTATTCCCAATTTTTATTTGTTGAAACTTTGTTTTTTATTTATTTTATTTTAATTTATTAACCTAATAAATTCAAATAATAAATAAAAAATTTGCTTTTTTTTGGGTAAATTTATTTTTTTTTGAAACAATAAAATGATAGGTTCTTTTCCTAGTTACTCTTCTTTTTAAATATACATGGGGCCACCCACCACCACCTTCTTCTTTTTTAAAGATGTAACGAGGGGCGTGATTTTTATATATTGTTAATTGATGAAAATAAATTTTTTTATTACCATTGTATTATATATAATATGTGATTCAATCAATTTGGCTATCTTTCTCAATCTATCTATACAATCTATACAATCTACATAATTTACTACATAAATAATAATAATAAATATAATAATATTTTTCAATAAAATAAACAAACAAATAAAAGCAACCAAAACTCTAGACTCTTTATTTCTTTCACCGATTACTATTATCTTCGTCTTTAATTTAATTTAATTGACACACTCTTTTGAACGATTGCAGCAGTTACATTGCATGTATATTATTTTTTTTTCTGTTATAGCACAAATAATTCTTAATATCCCATTTTGGTAAATCAAAAATATCAAAAATAAAAAAATTAAATTTGAAACGTCAAAAATTAATTGAAAATGAGATGCCTAAAATCAATAATAGATTGCAACGAAACGAAACGAGACGAACAGAAAGGAAAAAGAAAGAAATGAAAGGAAGAAACTTTTGATTGAGGATGATAATGATGATGATATATCTTAGCAAAATAACGTTTAGCATAGAATAAATAAAGTGCAAAATTATTATATATTATATATTATGGATTTTGTTATAATAAATAATTTTGATTAATCTCATCTCACCC